TCGAACCAGGGCGTGCAACATCCTCGATAACCCTTGACCGGTGAAACTGCGAAGGGAGTACAGCAAGTCAACACGAACTGCACCCGCTAGAGCTCACTATGTGAGATTGATCTTGGTGAAGACGGCCAGGGCCCTGCCTGCCTCGGCCGCCCACTTAGGTCGCGAGTGGAGCCGATCTTCCGGGAAGAGACACGCCAAGGCAGCGGCTACTTCAACCACGTTGCGTGCAGTGAATTCGTTGTCCAGCTTGGGAGCTATCGCGTGACGCCACACCGCACCCCTATGAGATGAAACCGTCCCGTGCAGAAATACTCAAAACGAATGCACCCACATTTGCGCTGGTGCAATACCCAAGGAATGCGGAGATGATACTGCCGAGCAGAGCAATGCCACCTCGGGCGGCCGAAGCCTCTTAGCGATGTCCCCCCTTCCCATATAGGAGCAGAGCTCCATCCAACAAGCCTAGTGGGAAGCTAACGGTCTTGCTATCATGATATGCTACCCACCTCAAGCTCCCTCTCTTCAGAGGGAACTATATAGGACTTGATTCGGGACAGCGACCAAAGGATGCATGCAGCATCACCGGTGGAGATCTTAACAGCTTCAACACGAACTCGTATAGCGTGGTCGAGGACAAGCGTGCTAAAACGGCAGTGAACTGCATGGGAGAGTCATTGTCAACTATTCTACGCTATTCGTCGCCTCCTATCGCGATCGGGAACATCGGCGAGAAGCTTCGTCAAGGCGTACACTGCATCCGAGATGACCCTACCGCTCACCAAACTGTGGCTGGGACGACCCCACTTGGCCGTCTCGAATTCCAGCAGCTTGCTCCCGAGCTGAATGACTACATCAACGTCAGTAGAACCTAGACATGATACAAGAGCACCGGCTTCACTACGCCTCGAAATTGTGATTACTAACTCACGCTGGGCTCGCAGTTGATTCATCGCCAAATTTATATTACTGACCGACATGACCTGGAGGTGGCTTCGAGCGATCTCCGCGGGGTCGCAACCGTCTTTGAGTCGCTGTTGCAGCTCGCTATGCTTGGTCAGCTGCCATGCTGCTGGCCTTATGTTGATGGTGGATAATAGCTCTCTGGACGGGCGTAATATGTGAATCGACATTCACTGATGGCTGAGACAGTGCTGGTGGTGGCAACAGTATTCCCAAAAGCTTCCAACTGCTAGTCAACGACCAACACCTTTGCCTCACCGAACTAGCCACCTCGTTATTCCCCAGCACACAAATGGAAACGGACACGCAAGTTGTATAGTCCATTCAAAGGATCAGTGACAAGCCTGTAGAGATTCGCTTGGCTGACGACCCAGGTGGTTACAGTTGGTACACAGTGTACACCTTCGGTCAACCGAGCGGACTAGAGAAATCGAAGGAAACAAATATTAATAGCAATTGCGAGTAAAAGGGAGCCTCACTTCCCTGGCGGAGATATGCTACTGGTGAAGACTCAAGTATGTACCGAAATGTACCCCTTACAAAAACTCGCCGCGCAGCTCGTGAAACACTCCATTGACCATCGGCGTACAATCGCATCGGAAATCTGACCCCGCAGAGAGTGCCCACTAAGCAAAGCGATCGCTAAATTCCACAGTTGAACACCCCACAGAGGTCAACGCGGAAAGTATATATTTTTTGAAAGTGAGTGATAGTAGGGCATGCATGGGGGAAGGGGCGGACTCCAAAAATTATTGCGATGATGATAATGAGAAGTATCGCGTATAACAGCAGTCAATACTCCAGTGGAAGCCCTCGATACGAGCTAGATAACGTTAGTCTGGACAGGGCGACTGAACATGTGCGACGACTGGTCGTAGACTAGACTGTGATGCGGAGATAGGTACCCACTTATCTTTGGTGCCGTCGTTTTCACTGTACTCCTCGCTACGGTGTTTCAGCTTGTTCTCGAATGCCTTCAAACGCTTGGACTCGTCCTTCTTTAACGCCTGACCCAGCCATTGAGCTCCGAACCAACTTCGCTGCATGGACCACTCCACCGCGATGAAACATGATATAAATTTAAGACGAACACAAGCTGCCGGTCGTCGTCGTCGGCATACCTCGGCGAGCTTGTCCAGTTGATCAGCAGCCTGAGCTTCAATCTTGAGCTGTTCCAACTCCATCATCATCTCAAAGAACTGCTCTCGGTTCTTCCGGACCGCCCTAAAAGCCCACCAGTTCGACTCTCGCGTTGTATCCACCACTCGACACACCCACATTTCAGAATTGTCATCGCTGCTATCATCCTCCTCGCATTCATAACTATCATCTTCCTCCTCCTCCTCCTCGCTACTGCTCCCTTCATAGTCCTCATCCTCTTCGCTGGCATCCTCTGCATCTTCTTCATCGTCCTCGTCAGCCTTCAACTTTGCCAGTTCTTCACGGATGAATGTCGCCTGG